TTTAAAATCTTAAAATTAAACTTATTCCGAATAGAATTGCTTTACGTCAAAAATATTTATGGTTTATAAAAAAAAAATTGTAATTTCTCTTTCTCTCTTTATGTACATTTGTGCGTGTGCAGGTGGCTGCATACTCAGAAAATGATGGAGATTTATTTTTGTCTACTAAAAATAAATAAATAAAAGAAGTGTAATAGTTAGACAATTGGTGATGATTTCTGACTTTCTCCTTCTCTTAATTTTGTTTTGTTCGAAATGCTGTGTATTGTTTCCCTGAAATCTGAACTTCCATCATTGTGAAATCTGATAAATCTGCAAAGCAACAATATCGATCTGATACATATGTCAAGTTGCTTTCTTCTCTCTTCATCGCTGAATACATGGGATTGATTTCAATTCCATATCTTTGTGTTCTGCATGAGCTCTATTTTCCAAAGGCTTTTGCCATCATAACGACAAATATTATTATAAGCTATGACCTTCAACATATTTAGCCAATATAATTGTATAGACATTTCTGCATGCACAAAGCATAAGCGTATTCATAGATAGTCATTTGATATATCATCTATATATGCCCTCTCTCCTACTTTAAATTTGACCCAACAACAACTTAGTGTCTCGTTTGGTCCAAGCCTTTTCATTCCTTGTGGAATCGCCTTCGCATATTTATGCATGATTTCCCACACTTTTTTTTTTTAAAGATTTTTTCACTTGTTCATCAATTATTCGATTAATTTAGTCGAGTATGACAAGATCATAAAGACAACAAAATTCTCTCTACCAAATTTTTAACACAGTTGTGTATTCAAAACTCTAACACAAGACCACATGTAAAAGAAAAGAACATCAAAAATATCCTAAAATAAAATGCTGTCTGCGCATTCAACTACTTCTTAAGGTTCTTCTTATGTAAAAATTTAAGATTAACTGACAGCACGGACCATTCTCCTTCCTCTTTGAAACATAATCCACACAATTAATTCATGACTTAAATTTTTTTTTGAGTAAAGACCCTTTTTTGATCCTAACAAAAAAACACGGTCCCCACTTTAGTCTCTTATAAAAATAAATTAGTTAGTTAGTCCCTAACAAATTCAAGGTGGACCCATTTTAATCCTTTCGAAGGACTAATATGGATCTTTTTTCTAATGCTTCTTATCCAGAAATAACAATCTTCTTATTATTCTGCACTACTGAAGAAAGATAATACAAATTTTCATTATTTTTTATTTTATTTTAATTTTTTTTATGATGGAAAAACTGCAGGAAGGACAGCTTCATAACTCATAGGGCATTCTGTGATGCATTGGCTGAAGAAAGTGCAAGAGTATCAGCAAACCAATTACCCACCACAACAAACCCATCATTAGGTCAGTCTCTCTTTCTCTTCCAAAACCATCAGTTCAACAATTTCATTCCCTGGGACTCATCTCAAGAAAACCCTAACCCTAGCAACAATATTGATGCTACCTTCCAATATATCAAGCCTGAAGCTCAAAATCTCCATAACCCCACCCTCTCTTCTTTACCCTCACTTCTTCAACAACCTCATAGCCATGAGCAATATAAGACGTCACCCTTCGGGAACCTTCATGTCCCCACGCAATTACCATCATCCAACGCCACCACGTCAGCATACATGTCAGCCACTGCATTGCTTCAAAAGGCTGCAACCGTTGGTACCGCTGCTATCAATGGGTCAATGGGTCACGTGACTCACCACCTCGGCATGGGCGAGTTTGGAACACTGAGTCAACTCGACTCGGTGGTCCCCGATTACATGAGCATGCAGAGAGGGTTCCCCAAGAACGACCGTCTCACCAGGGACTTTCTGGGAGTCAAACGGGATGCCAACGAAGGAGTTGACGGAGGTAAAGGCTGCGTCGTTGACGTTAGCCTGAATGTGAAGGATGCGCTAACCTTCGCGGGAGGCGTAGAGTACCACCACCAACACGCGCCATTGAAGCCTCTTCAAGGTTTTGGATTACTTGGGACAACCACTGCCCCAGAAACGTGGGGGAATTGTTGACGCAAACAAGGGAATAATTCCAAGCCCCGAGGGTAAAATGGGCAATATATTTTGGCATATCAATCGTCAACTTGTGTTAATTTAGGGTTAAAGAGTTATTGTGTTACATGAAAATAATTTCTTCTCTTATACATATAATAAATATGTGGATTTCTTTAATTTTTTTTTCTATTTTTTTAATGGGATTCACCTATTTAATGTGTGTAAGAGAAGATATTCTTCTTATCTAATATGACAAATTTTTAAACCTTTAATTTAACACTTATATATATATACTTTTTCCTTAAAATTAAAGTTCAGACCTTTGTTTCATTCCCCCCCCCCCCCCCCCCCCCCCCCCCCCCCCCCCCCCCCCAATTTAAATTACGTAGCATGATATATTGTTTCAATTATTTGTCATGAACTTCCTCTCTCTATATATATATAAAACCCACCCAGGTAGCCTATAAATAAAATATAAATTTTGTTGTCTACATATGCGAATATTAAACCTTGTTTCTTCGATTTACGAGGCTGAAGCAGAAGCAAGAGAGATTTTCAATTTGGGTTGAAATTATTTTTTTTTTCTTATAATTTTTTACAATTCTTTTTATAATTAAATTTACAAAATAATATATATTAAGTGAGAATCATTAATTTAATTTTAATCCAACAACCATAAAATAATCGAGGATGTAAATGAAAAAAGTGTACTAACATCTCTCATTAATCAATTATATATGTAATTTTGTTTTATTAATCATAGTACCTAGCCTAGAAAGAGTACTATAATACCTGAGAAATGAATAATTTTTCCAAAAGCCGAGGCAAACTGTGACTGTGCGCGCGCATGTATATGTGTTCCATTGATGGAGTTAAGAGGAGCCACGATGGTGGTCTTTCTTTGTCAGTATGCAACAGCGAAAATGTCACATGCAAGATTATTATTAGTCCTCTTGTTGCTATCACTACCTATGTCCTATCTTTATCTCGACAACTTTTGATCTCGTCTTAGCTAAATGCAAAATTATTATTAGTCCTCTTGTTGCTATCCCAATATCACCTTAGATGCATCATCACATATCAAACATCTTTGAACCTACGATGAGAATAAAGAAGATTGTATTAAAATAAAAAATAACAAAGAGAAAATAAAAATTGAAGAAATTAAAATAATGCCATAAGTCATGAATTGACTTTAGTATTGCTACATTGAACGTTAAAGATGATGGTATCACTGAAGCAGCAGCACATATTACAAATAATGATTCATCATCATAATTAATTATTGGGAGGCAAATTTCTGTGTGGACCTCATAACAAAACAGAAAATAAAATCTGTGATTGACTTTGCCCAGCTTTTAGTGAACCAAATTGGGTATTGTTTGTTAGACGCGATGGGTTTCACCATTTTACTCTCCCGCGCATGGTAGCTGACTTATTGGTTGTAGTTGTAGTCCTTGAACCTGACAAGATGGGATGTAATGACTCTACTCTTTATAAAATTAATATTCTTACAAAATGTGTTGGTATTATTCTTCCTAAATATAATTCAAGATTAGTTAGTTAAAGTATTTTATAATAAATTATTAAATTATGTGAACGTATTTATGCTTCTCGCATCCCATCTCGGGTATGTGCTTCATTGCATTACATGCTGCAGTGCAAAAGGGACATTACATATTCGTAGTTCGAACTTTAGTACATAATTTGAATGGAAAATTCTGAACTAATAAGATGAAGTATCGTATATGAGAGAGAGAGCTGATCAAGTACGCAACAAGAGGATGGAAGAAGTGATCACGTGATGTTGGTATTCGCCCGCCACAACTTGCAACTTTTAAATGACACAAGTGTCCTTGGCCCCAACCCTCTATATATATTTTCTTTTTCCTTTTTTTAAAGGAAAAGAAAAATAAATTCCTAGGGGAAGTTAAGTCGTGTCGATAATTTGTCAAATTCATCACCATAGTCTTGTTTTTTTTTTTTTTTGGGTTAGATTAATATGATTCTAAATATAAAAAATTTCCACGGTGCTGGTGCTTCTGATTTTGTTTTTCAAACATTTGTTTAATGATTTGGTTGAAGTCGGTGTGGATGGCAAATAATGAAGATTCTCAAGCCTATGTTAAAGAAGTGATGCCATTTTGGATTTGGCAAATAAGTGCCACAGAGTTGCATATCATAACTTTTGTCTCCATCTATGCTATAAATAAGGGTCATGTTGGCCATTATTATTTTGAGTTCACTAAGTTACCTACTTACCCAAACGTTTTTTGTGAATGATATACGGAGTGAAACAGCTCATCTATGCTGTTTGTGAAATTTCAAATCCTAGCCCGTGAAATTTTTTTGGCTACAAAGGGATTATATTCACCCTCTAACACATACTAAAAACTATAGTAGCTCATCAGCTCTTTGTGTAGTGCTTCTGGACTAGGCTCTCCACTTATACCAAAAATAAAAATAAAAAACTATAGTAGCTGTCTACATGGGTCCCCTAAACTAATTTAGGGGTGGAAAATGTTCAAAGTAATGCAACCGAACTAGCAATTCATCTCAATAACGTGTTTCTAAATATATGAATTATGTCGTCATCCATAGCAAAATAGCAAAATCTTTTTACTTCATTCCATTCCCAACGATTGTTGCAAAATTCTAAACAAACTATGGTTTGGCTAATTTGGGAAATGCAGGGCACATTTATTGGCCAAAGCATTAACCAAACTCCAAGAAATTCTTTTCCTCGGCACTTTTTCTTTTTGGAAAAAATGGAGAGTTTCAAAGAAATGGAGGCTTTTCTAAAGAGGAGCAAGTGAGGCTCCAAAAATTGCATTATAAGCGTGACCAAAAAGGTAAACTAAGTTGATGGTGTGTATGTGTATTTGTGCGGAGTGTGATGGTGGTCCGTAACACATAGGGTGGTACTCAATTTAAAAGGAAAAGGGGGAGAGGAAAAAAAAAAAAGAGAAAACAAAAAGAAATATAAATGTCAACGGTTGCTCAAATGGAGCTTTGAAAGTTTGAATCATAATTCCCAGCCTTCTTTGCTGTAACCCTTTATCAAATTCTGTGCACATCCCCACATCACTCATAGCCTTTGGTTGGAAACTAAATCCACAAATGCACTTCAACATTATTGAAGTCAGTATCATGCAATTTACTAATTATTATGCTTTGCATGAACCCCTAATTTTCAACTTACCCTAAACGTGACTGTAACATATTTTACCAGATAAATTCATTGAACAGACACATTCAAAATTTGCCAACTTGCTAGTGTACTTAATTTGATGTCTATACCTTATCTGATCTTTGGAAAGCTCTACAAAATGAAATTCCATTTCGCAAATGAAGTCAAAAGAAAGTGTGTAATATAACTCAAAGAAGTGTATGTAATTGACCAAAATTATTAAGGTTGGCATTAAAGTTGCACTTCCATGCTCGTCATCTTAGACTAGGTTAACAAAAAGAAAGGAAAAAGTTTGTTGTCACTTAAATTCAGTTAAGTTCACTGCAAGAGAGAGGAAGGGAAAAAGAGCCTAGGGATTAACAAAAGGAGTTGGTGTGTTGGGTTTTATGTTATATCCAAGCTTTTAGAAAGTATAGTTATAAGTTGCAGGGATAAGGTACATTACATCCCATTTGCCTATTAAAATAACTGCCTCTTTTCATATCCCTCTGCAGCACAAAGAGACAAACCAAAAGCCTCTTAGATTCCCTCCAACCATCTTTGCATATGTCATCTTCCATTAGGAAATCTCATTTCAACAATCTCTCCTTTTTCTTTCTTTTCTTCCTTCCAATCCTAATAATTACCACTACCAAAACTTCATATTACGTGTTTTTCTCAACTTTTTCCTTCCGCGGCAAATCCTCTCACAATACCATGCATTACACAAATTTAACAGAAATATAAGTAGCAATAAAATGGCACTCTCAGATAACAGTATCTCCAACGATGATATTTTTGTCTAGCTGCTTCGAAAACCAATCTTCATTAAGGCTTCCTAAATTTAATTTCCAACTCACTAAATAAAATCCACAATGGTTCAATTTCAAGCTCCAAAAAGTTACTCATAAATCCCAAATTTCCACACAATGCCATCACACTCAACCCTGATTTCAAGTACAGCATATCAGTGATACCTTATCCTCTCTTTTTTCTTTCTTTTTTTCTCTTATAATCGAATATATGTAATGAGAAAACAAGAAAGAAGCGGATACTAATGAAGTGAAAAGAAATATAACTTAAAACATTACAATCTGAAAGGTGTGATCAGATTAAGCTCAAAATGTTGGAGATTCATCCTCAACTTGTGTTACTATACCAATATTTTTGTCCAACTTGCTAAACTAGAACAGGTCACTGATCTAGTCCTGGTATCAGATCAGACCACCTTTCTTTCACGCATATTTATAGTTGTCCCTCCTTGTGGTTAAACATGAAGATTTTCGAGTAAGAAAACTTAATTTTCACCAAGGGTCCTTCATTTTGCTATAACAAGCTAGTTTAGCTAGTCCAGATTCACAATTTTTTCAAGGAAACATGAATCGTGGAGCTAGAGAATCGACTCAATAAAATTTCAATCTGTTTTAAGTTACATTCAACTCAATGCATTAATCAGATAATGTGCATACAACACTGTTCAAATTAGTGATAGTCATCTACTCAACTGTGAATTAAACTACTGACAAATAGAAAAAAAGTATAGATCAGGATAAAGAAAAGCTTCCAATTTCAAATATGCATCAATTGCTCTTCGGAGATACCTGGTGGGCCAATTCATCTATAAAGTTCCCTTCACTAAGCATCTTATCTGACCCCCCAAGATTCGCTCCCACAAATTTACCCAATACATTCTTAAATGCCTGCACCATACAGGAAAAAGAAAGGAAGCAAATAAAAAGGAAAGAAAATGAATATTTTCATCTTCAAAGTCGTGCACATATTTCGTCAAGGAATAAATTTTTTTTGCCATTTTGGTTAGTTTGATTTACACGCTTTACATTTTAGCGTGTACATCTATTTGGCTGAAAACTAAGAAGATCTTACAATCCAACTGCATATTCTCTCCCATGTATTAAAGAGAAACTAAAGTTCCAATACACATGCAGAGCAACCAATGCCAAAGATTCATGCACTGAAATGATGGCGATGATAGAGAAAATTGGAAAGAGAAATATGCCATTGTCAAAGTATAAATTGAGGAAATCTGTCCCTCTCGGGGAAAAAAGAAGAAGCGACAATACGGTTCAAAATTGTCTAAATCACTTCATACAAGAAAGCATAAACTGCTTGTTTGGTCAGAAAATCATAATGAGTTTGAAAGAAAAATGAAAATGTCATATATACGAAGAATATGTTATAAATGGTAAACTTTGGCAAGCAAAAAGATAAATGGATATAATGAAGCACAAAATGCTAAAAGAAAGGTTAGGATTAAAAGAATATGAGATGAGAAGCATATTAATGCTTAAATTACACAATTCTTGCAATGCGGTTATGGCACAGATGAGAGGCCTCATATCAACCTCTTTGCCATTACCAAATCTTTCTCATCATTAGATAAGCAGCAATTGAAACTAGACTGAAAATAGCTTCCTGTTTTTCCTAGCACTAGTCTTCCAGGATCTAGACCAGATTGCAAAAATCAAATAGCTTTTTCATGTAATGAACTACCAAAAGAAACATCAAATACAATGTTTATACTTTCACAACATCACAATAGGGAGGATGTTGTCAAGTATTCCATGGCATACCAAAAAAATTATCTCGAGTCATTACTACCATCACTGATAGGCTTTTCCAAAAATAGAAATGAAAACAAAAGGTCAGCATTTTACTAAGTGAGGAGAAAAAATCTGTAATCAACCGTTGTTGCTCACTTTCCTTCACCCTAGTAAACTAGTTACATGAACTAAATGGACAAAAGAATCAGATATACTTCCCTGCCATGCATTTTTACAGCCTATTAGATTAGATAGTAAGTGATCTCAAAAGAGAAAATGGAAATAGAAACACCTGAATTGCTTATTAACCAAATTCTCAAAAGGGGGAAAAATACTTCTAAAGGCCTTACAGAAGTTGTAGCTCAGCTCCCACCACAAAAGCAACACTTGACTATCCAACCAAATATAGAAAAACATTTTACAAAGTATACATTTCATCATAACTAGAAGGACAAATTCAGTGAGCACAGTAATTAAATTTCAAGTCGACTATCACTATTTCTCATGCTTACCATTCACTCCAAGCTCAAAATCATTTATTGAATCAGAGAAAAATTGCTGATCATGAATTTGCTTTGCTAACACAGTTGTGAACCAAAGAAACAAGTTCATGAAGCACCACAACTGCAGCAGGTTTTAATTCAGGTAATATGTTCCCCTCTTTAAGTGTTTTCTCTTTTAAATCCATCCCTTTCAAGTTTCAACATCTGACTATAATTGCCATCACAGTGATCAGGTAAGCAGATTATCAAGACAAGCTAGAGAGCCACTAAAAAAAAAGATAACCTCAAATTTCTTTGTAACAAGACATTCATAGAACATTGTTTACGTCTATATATATAATATAGCAGCCATCTTATTATTAACTTATCATTCTCATCAATTATTAGGCAGGTTGCATACATTCTAGTTTTCCCAATGAATTATGCAGTAGTTGATCCTGTCCTAAATTGAAAAATCTTTGACAAACTGATGCCCCTAATAAAAAATTATAATTGGTGAGGGAAACGACAATCAGTACCAGCCAGTAGAGCGGCAAAACGGACTTGGCTCGGCGCGCCAACCCGCCTCACCCGCCAAACGGAAGGTGGGCTGAGTTTTACAACTCATCTCAAAAGTGGGGCGGGCTCGTTTTTTGGAGGGTATAGGCGGGGCGAGACTGGTTAGTGTAAAATAGGCTGGGGTGGCGGGTCAACCTGCCCAACCCGCCAAACGGGACGAGACGAGCCGAATTTTTCAGCCCACTTTCAAATGCGGGTTAGGACGGGTTGGCTTGTTTTTTGGCGGGTTGATACCGCCCCGCTCACTTTGCCACCTCTATAACTTAGCTTAATAATGAACTTTGTGAGACATATCTGAATCTGCTCACCCATCTTTTTTCTTTGCCAAGTATTTCAGATATAAGAACTGGAAAACCAAGATTGAAACATCTTGACAAAGGAAAGAACAAATAGAACGTTACAAAACTCTTAATCACATTACTTTATGCATTATATAGATTAAAACATCCTTAAGCTGTAACAAGTAACAACTATTGAAAATTGCTAATAAATAGATACAATATTCCTGATAAGGAACAACAGCACCACTACTGTAGAGAAAAACCAAAATCCATGCAAGGAGGGAATATCGTGCATCAAGAAGAACCCATATACCTTTCATTGTTTGCAATTGGAAACTATGCACAAAATATTGTGGTGTGGATCATAGTGAGTACTTTCTCTAGCTTGGGCTTCCTTCACCAACAAATTGATAGAAGATAGTTCTATTATCTCCTGAATTGGTCGGTGCAGAAAACAACTAGTTTTAACTAGAATTCCATGAATAAAAATACCAAAAATGCAGTAATAACAAAATATTGGAGATAAATGCACTGATCATCTCAACAATTTATATTTAAATTTGAGCCCTCTCCTCATGATCATTGTTCATAATTAGTAGCACCTGAGTTACATGTCACCAAATGTATTAACAAAATATGGCACTAACACATGACCTTAACAACATTTTAAAACAAAAAAGGAACGTAAATGCACAGTATAATTGTCAAAAAGAATCAAAATTCCTTTCATGAACCAATTGAAAAAAAAGGTACTAAATATCACATAGCTCTTGAATTGGTAAAGGAACCTGCAACTGCAAGCAATGGAAAACAAATTAAGATTCATTTAATATCATCCGAAGAAATAGCAATGTAACATTGGAGATGCCAAAAGCGTAGATAGCAATTTACCCTCTCATGGCATTGCCTCCACCATGCACACCAAGTAACACTGCAATCGAACCGATTGTATCATGTGTACTTATTATGAAATTCGATTCGGTAATTTTCTTGCTTTGGAAAAGTCAAAATCACATTTGATTCATTGGGGCAAAAACGAAACATGTCCAAAATGGTGAATTACTACTATTGAGACGAACCTTGCTATGAAACTTGGAACTGGTAATGGCAGCATGTAGTTTAATTGGGCCAAATCGGTGGTCCAATTTGTCCATGTGTGGATCGAAGCCCAATAGTTGGCCATCGATATTACTGGGCTTCGTAAATGACAGCGAACATGTACAAGTGGTGAATGCAGAGTGTACTGGCTCTATCATATTGAAAGAAGTGACATTTTTTTTGTCACATTTAAAACAAAAATGTTGTAAGATCAAATAATTATATATGAAATATATTATAAAATACGTCGTCATGATTGTGTATCTTAAACAAGATGATTAAAAGGAATGTAGCTGCATAGTTTTCCTCTTCTATATATAGTTAAATGTAAATTAGTATACTTCAAATAATAAAGTTGTATGTTAGTACTTAGTATGGTTACAATAAAAATTCTATGATTCAGGGAAAATATAACAGCTACCACAAATTTATAAATGGAAGGAAGGACCCGTTAAACCACTTAGCCAGATTTTAAGCCGTATAAAGTTCCTACTTGATGAATAATTCTTGGCATTATCCCAAGAGAGATACAAAGTGAATCAGGAATTAACAACCGTAGCAGAGTGGGAAAATGGATTGGTCTTCGAAGATCTGCACTATTGTGATCGCTTTCCTTGGTACCATAATCTGTCGCGGGTTCGCTCTCTCAATCAGTTTAAACGATAAAGAATGCGTATCAGAGTACGTTCAATATGACGGAGACACTGTTTCTGGCAATTTTGTAGTAATGGACCACGATATTTTCTGGAGTTCAGACCATCCTGGCATTGATTTCATGGTAAGCAACCCCACACGGCCCCTTCTTTGTTACACTCTGATAATAATGTGCAAACAAGATGCATTAATTATAGGGAAAAACTAGTTTTCGGCCACATGAGATGGATTTATTTTCCAATAGAGATATCGATCTTTGAGCTTTGTTTTTTATTTTTATTTTATTTTTTTTATAACTATGTGGATTTCACTGTATGATTGTGAGAGTGATAAGAGAGAAGATATCTCCTATTGATGGAGATTAATAAAACCCTTAATTATATTAATCAAACATAAGGTACATATATGTATGTGTGTGTGCAGTGGCAGATCTGCGTATTAAGTGTGTGCAAGTGCACACACAAATTTTTTGGGAAAAAAAAAAATATATATATATATATATATATATATATATATATATATATATATTTTGGGTCATCAACAAAAATTACTGAACCCAATTTAATCTCTTAAAAAAAAATCGACTTGTGATCCTTTTAAATTTCAAAATAGACCCATGTTAATTATTAATGTGGGTCTTTTTGAATTTCAGATGTCCATGATTTTGATTATCTGGGTCTACTTCTAAATTCTGAGAGATCACAAGTAGACCTTTTTTTTCCTAAAAGATTAAATCGAGGCCCGTAATTTTTGTTGATGACTCAAAATATTCTATTGTAACAGTTTACTTTCTTTATATTAAGTTAAAGTTTTTTTTTTATATTCTTTTGTATTTTAATATATTTAAAATTTCCTTTAAATTTTTTTCTTTTATTCTAAATGTGCAGATATTAAAAGAAATTTCTACGCTATTGTGTTTGTGTGTGTGTTTCAATGTGTGTAGGTGACATCTCCGGGAGGGAATATAGTGCACGCTTTAAAAGGAACATCAGGGGACAAGTTTGAGTTCAAAGCCACACAAAATGGATTATACAATTTCTGCTTTCACAACCCTGCTTCGACGCCCGAGACTGTGTCTTTCTACATTCACATTGGCCACATCCCTAATGAACATGACTTAGCTAAAGATGGTTAGTTCCTGATTTTTGTGTCTCTATAGAATTAACTTACCTAAATTTACAGGATTACCTATCAATGGTTTTTATTTTCTCATTTTTGTTTTTTGGGTTCAGAGCATATGGACCCGATTAATGTAAAGATTGCTGAGCTTAGGGAAGCATTGGAGTCTATTATAACAGAGCAAAAGTACTTGAAAGCACGCGATGCTAGACATCGACATAGTAAGTTGTTCTCACTCGCTACACGCTATTAACTTATCACACACACACACACACACACTAAATACTAAGTTTTTCTAAAAAGACCCTGATTGAGGTCCCATTTTTATGTGTATTTATCAATGTATGCATCTTTGTGGATGGTAAATCGCTTTTAATTCGTTTTATGTATTAAATTTTTGCAATTGCAGCAAACGAGAGCACCAGAAAACGTGTTGTCTTGTACACACTTTTGGAGTATATATTATTCGCTGCTACAAGTTTATTACAAGTGGTATACATCCGTCGCCTCTTCAGCAAATCATTTGCTTACAACCGGGTGTAGCCTTCATAATGAGTCCTACTAGTTCTCCTTTGATTACTTTGTTTCCCCATTCTTCACACTTATTTTTGTAACTTCTCTATAATCAATTTCTCCATTTGGGTTTTCTGGTCAAGCAGCATAGTTCAATTAGGATATTATTGTTAAGTTTTGCGTTAGATTGGGAAGTTTTGATGTCTCGGGTTTGATTCTCGTGCGCTCATTTTCTTTATGAAATTTCTTAGTACAGTAGGCTGAGCCTAAGTTCAATGAGCTTTTTTGTGAAGGGACGTGTTAATGAAGTATATAAATTATTGATGGAATTTACTTAATACTTTAACCTTTTTGGTTGAATTAGTTCTTTTCAATTATTTTAATTTATTAAACCCAGGTTATTCATAAGACCATTTACCTTTATAAATTTTATAATTTGTGAAATGAGAACATAGTTTAATTTTAAAGACTTTTTATTGATTTATACATAAAGTATTTTTTCATGTAATTTACATGCATGAGGAGTATTTTGCTTACACTTTATTTTGTTATTCACTACATACAAAATGAAGTGAAGGAGAACACATGGTGATGGTTGGTCTTGCAATCAGGCTTTTTGGAAAGTATTGATTGGGCTCATGTGTCTCTCTTTCTTTCTCTCTGAGTTTGGGTTGGTCCGAAGTTACAAAACCCAATTCAACAGGCCACAGAGCCTATTTGATTCACCTACCCGACATCTCGTTATTGTACAGTTGGTTCGATATGGAAAACTATAGGTCAACTTGAACCTTAATTAAGAGGTCCTAAACTTTGTCTTAATCAAAGTATGAATGGTTTATCGTATCGGTCATTTGAAGGGTGAATTCGATGTGCAAACAAGTTTTGAGGGAGGACAACAATGCTCTGACGCAGAAGATACGATGCTGCATTATGTTAGTGAGTTATTTCTATTATGTATACAGTTTTGTCCATTGTGCCGCATAATTAAAGCATAATAAGATGATTAAAAAAAAAAAAAAAAGAGCATAATAAGACAAACCTCAATCAAATTAAATCAAAGCAATCGTGAATTCCCAATTTTCAGAGAGCATGAAATGCAGATAGGTTAGAATTGCGGTCCAGAAAAAATGTTTTGGGCAGGAAGAAGGAATAGGTACCGATCTTTTTTTATTAGAAGAATTCAATGCAGTTTTAATCCTTAATTTTAATCTAAGTACTTACAAAAATTTCTTTCATCTCCCACAATAAAAAATATATTTAAATTAACATTAATTTAAATATATTGTTTAACTCTTTAATAACTTTTTATTAAATAATTATATCATAAAATTTATAGTTGAATTGAAAATTCATATCATATAAAATATATCTACAAATTTTTTATTATTTTAAAATTATTTAATATTTCATTGTTATATATTAAAGTTAATGTATTGTTATTGTAACGAGAAATGCATTTAATATAATACAAGTTAAATTAATCAAACTAATTGACAATCAATATAATTAATTTTATAATAAAAACAATAAAAGTTTTTATATCAGGTGATAATACGTAAGATATTTAAAAATTTATAATCTTATGTAACTGCAGCACTAATTAAGATAATGAAAAATAAAAGGATATAAATTCGGATCTGGAACGGATCCCACTGGATAATTAATTGGATGTCCACACGTTACAGGCCTATGAAGCAGCCTATACCAACAACTTAGCCTGAATCAGACTCTACAGAACTTAGCTGTCACTAAATCACACCCACCTTTACAACGCATGCAAAGTATCACTGGGAATCGTCAAAGGAAAATAGACCCTAACCAATTACCGAGTAAATAATGAATGATCCACATACAGTCATACTCATACACCTCACATCTTCTATCAGCTTCTATTAATATAAAACCATTAATAAATTGAAAAAGATAGTTGTATAGTATAGTTTCATAAAAAAAAAATTACAAATAAATGAACGTACGGTAAAATTAATTTCATTAAAAGTAAGGAAATTCTAAAACCTCTTCTAAAACAAGACAATGTAAAATGTTTAAAAATTAAATTTTATGTAAATTAATAAATTATGCAAAGTGATTCCAATAAAAAAAATTATTAACGTAAAGTTAATCCAAAAAACTATATATAAATTCAGAGTTTAATGTCTTTTATTTTATAAGAAATAAAATTATGTATTATATATATATATAAAAATTTGTGAGATTTATATTTTTTTTTCCTCTCCTTTTTTCATATGACTCTACATGGGGCTCATATATTTTTACGTATATAAAAATAATTTTATTCCTTATAACATAATAAACATTAAATCTATACAGAGGCTTTTTAGTAGAGGAAAAATTTATTTTATCCGAAAATCGTGATTCTCACGAATATGGTGAAAAAATGATTTTCGCATAAATGTTATTAAAAAATTATTTGATAGAAAAAAAATATTCACGTAAATATTGTGTTAATTTTTCTGATATTATGTTTGATTGATTGTAAAATATTGTTAGAAATATAGATTGCGGTTAATAATATCCCAAAAAAATCATCAAATATTCTCATCAAATGAGATTTTCAAAAAACCATTCATTGGTATTTTAAGATTTTTTTTTTCTTCATAAACATGAATCTTGATAATCCGACTTTTTCGGAAAAAAAATTATAATATTTGCATCAAATATGGATAAATTGAATTTTCAATCTCACGTGATTTAAAAATATTTTCATTTATCAAGCACCTATAGATTTAATGGGATATGATACGTTTACAAATTTTTTTTGCAAATTACACTAAGTACGACCGATTATACACTACATGATTCAAATATGATCGATCGTACTTAGTGTAATCTGTAAGAGTTTATAAACAAAAAAAATTTGTAAATATAATGTGCTACAAATTTAATACGGTGGTGGATGGGGAATGCGTCGTTGACGACTAGAAATTAATTGAAATCCAACGGTTGAGAGCGAAGGAGTCAGGCCTCGGCACTGAGGTGATGGTACAAAAGGAAAAGGATGTGTATTTGTTGCGCTGCTCTTTTTCCTAGATGGCTGGGAAGTAGGGAGTAACATTGAATTGAAGATACCCAAAGCATGAATTGACAACTGAGGATGATCACGCTCTCACTTGTGCAATAAGCAGAGAGAGAAAGAGAAGGAAAGTAAGAGAGGTTTGAGCCAAAACAAATATAAAAAAATATGCATAGAAATTCTAAACAAGCCCCCCCCCCCCCCCCCCCCTCCCCCTTGTTTCTTTTGTTCCGGAACCCAATAATTGTAGGGTCTGTGACTTTTTGTCTCTGGTCAGTGTGGTAAATTTGAATTGTTTGAGTGCAACCTAATCTTTGTTTATAACCTCACAACGTAATAATAAGGGTGTTTTAAAGACACACACACAGAGAGAGGTTCTGGAATAGGTGTCTCTCCCCTACTCTATCATCTCTGACCCGTGCTATATAGCTAAGACAACTCTTCAATATCTATCATCATGCGTCTTCTGTTCCTTTTTAGCTTTCTTAGCTGTTAGCATTTTGAATTCTCCCTTCTTAGCTTGACTCTACTGTGCATGTATGATCCTCCCTTTAATTCACTGTTACCCTTGGTGGGTTTTGTCTTTATGAAACCCCTTTATTGTCTACATCTTTTACATCTCTCCCATTTTTCTATATCTATATCTATATATATATATATATATTCTACTCATCGTAGATTCTTCCTTGTGTACTTATAGCACTGCTCTAGTTTTTCCTTTCTTGCTTCATGTTCAACCCTTCCCTTGGGGTTCTTTACCTCTTGTTCGTTTCTTTCCTAGCTTAGAAGTGTTGTATGGAATCAAATCCCTATAGAACTATAGCATGCACCTTCAAGGTTTCCCAACCCTTTCCTCCTCTTCATTCGTAGCTTATTCACTCATTTATAAGATAGGTTATAAGTATATATATATATATATATATATAAATAGTTGAATAAGCTTTCTCCCCTCATTTTTGATTGTGCATGCTTGCTGAAACATGTGTGATGTCTCCTTCTATGGTTCCTTAGGGTTTTGAATATTCATCATATACACCTGCAGAGAGTGGAGTTGAGAAGTTCACAAAGGAAAAAGTGAAGCTGCCAGCATGATCTATCTTTGGTTAGAGAGCTGAAGAAGTGTTAACCTTGACTAGGTCATGCTGTGACAGCCTCACTCCTTCCTATTTGGGGACCCAATAGATTCTTAACGATCTGAATGACACAAACTTAAAAGCAAAAGGTGAGTGAGTATAAGAATTCACTGTTTGCATATATCGTATATTCCTTTTCTGAGTTTCTGTTCTGGCAGGCGTGCGTTTTTACCTTTTCCCTTTTACTTGCTTTTGTCTCTACTTTTATTTTATTTTTATTTCTCTTGTTCTTTCTCCTTGTATTTCACGCCAAATTTGTTTACTGCGCATTGTTGACCATAATATTCATTGAAAGGTCATGGATTATTACTTATCTTTTTGCTTAGGGTTTTAATTAGAACCAAAGGTTGATGCATATATGTGTTATTTTAAGTGTTCAAAATTGATTGCGATTATTTAGGATCAGGTGTCCTTTCTTTTGTATGGTTTAAATGCTTCAAAACCCTAGAGGTTACTCTGATGTTTAAGCTTCTATATATGCGATGATCAGTTTTTTTTGGGGCCTGAGAGTCATATTAAGTAGAAGACGTTGTTCCTGTTCTTGTATCCGTTGTGTTTTTCTCTTATTAGGGGTAACTGCTTATTTCTCTACATGAAATGTCGAAGCACATAACATGGTGTGCTTGTCACTACTATCCATAACAGTTGCATATTTGACAGATTTTGTTTGAGATGTGTAAAGGCAGGTTCAGAAGATTAATGGTTACTAACAGTACTTAATCTTAGTTTTATGCTCTATGTTGAATGAAGATTGACCACCATCCGGAGGAAAATATTATATTAACGTTGGACCAGGCCAAAAGCTATATCGATCCAGAAAACAAGCGAAACGAGGAATAAGTATTTATGTAGGATTTATTGTT